ATTTCTCCCCCTCTCCCTTCCAGCCGAACGAGAGCTGCCAAAAGGGAGATAGAGGAGCCAGAAGCGCGCCGCGAGTGAAACCAACGCGCCTATTCACATCTCAAGAGGCATGGCGAACAAGTATAACAAAATGAATCAGAACAAATTCGAAATGAGGGAAGGCGTGTACAATGAAAAGGGAGGCAGGGGTAACAACGGGGACATTGAACCCGAGGGATTTAACGCAGAAGAGTTGCAAAGCTTTTTTACCACTTGGAAAAAATTCTGCAAAGAAAAAATAAACGAAGTAGGGGAGAGAAAAAATTTCCTCGTTTTTGACAAGGAGAAGGATCTGGACGGTGGAAACAATGAGTATTTTAATTCATACAACTATATCCACATACATGAGGACATGATAAAGGATGAAGTGAGGACAAGGACTTACTACGATGCCATTAGGAAGAACCAACATTTAATAAAGGACAAAATAGTGTTAGACGTGGGATGCGGAACAGGAATCCTCTCCTTCTTTGCTGCCATGTCGGGGGCAAAGCATGTATACAGTATTGAAAAAAGTAACATCATCTACACAGCGTTAAAAATTAGAGACGAAAATAATTTAACAGACAAAATAACTTTCTTGAAAGGACTGGCTGAAGAAATCGAACTTCCGGTAGATAAGGTCGACATAATAATATCAGAGTGGATGGGTTATTGTCTCTTGTATGAAAATATGCTGGACACGGTTCTTTACTGTAGAGACAAATGGCTAAGGGAAGGAGGATTGCTTTTTCCGGATAAGGCATACATGTACATTGCTGGCATTGAAGATAGTTTATATAGGGAAGAAAAATTTGACTTTTGGAAAAATTGTTATGAACTAAATTACACTTCAGTTTTGCCAATATTAAAGGAAGAAGTCGTTATTGATTATGTAGACAAAAATTTTATCGTAACTGATACATGCTGTATACTAGATTTGGACTTAAACACTTGCACAAAGGACGACTTATCCTTTGCTTCTCCCTTTCGATTAAAAATGATCAAAAGGGATTATTTGCATGCACTGGTCATATGGTTTGATGTTTCATTTTCTGCGTGCCACACAGACATCAGCTTTACCACTGGGCCATACGGGGGACACACACATTGGAAGCAGATCGTGCTGTATACGGACCACGTACTCACTGTGGAGAAACACGAAGTGATGCGCGGAATGTTTGCGCTTAGGAAAAACGGCAAGAATAATAGGCACATCGACATGAAGCTTCATTACGTTTTCGAAGGCGCCCACACACGCGCGCGCGCCACGCAGTTCTTCAACATAAGCTGAACAGATAAAAATCTGTGGAGCGGGTTTTAAGAGGCGAAGATGTTGTGCGAAGTGGTGTTAGAAGCGCGTTTTGCTCCCCCTTCACGCCAATCGCCTGCCCCCTCTCACACCGTTTACCATTTGACAACATACTTATGCCACACGTTCATAAATTTGCACCCGAGGTTGAAGTTTTTACCTTGCCTGTTCATAACATTTGCGCAGTTTTCATTGGCTAGTCGGGAAAAAAAAAAAAAAATATAGCTAGCCAGGTGGCTTATTCATGTATTTTTTCCTCCCATTTATGATCTTTGCCTTTTTTTTTTTTTTTTTTTTTTTTTTTGCACGGTCTATTCCAAATCATTATTTCATTATTTTTTTTTTTTTTTTTTTTTTTTCATATATATGCCATTTCGAGCTCCTGTTCGTCCTGTCCCACCTCTTTATATTGGTTTGCCCCCATAAACCATCCCGGGGGACATATCCCACACTTTGTTGTTCACGCAGTCTAGCCTAGTACGTCGCAGAGGGGTGCTTTCTGTTGTTTTTCCCCTCGTTTGAATTTATTATTTATTTTTTTTATTTTTTCCCCCCACTATTAACAAGTTGCGAATTCGTCCCTTCGTAGTTACGTCTTTATGTTTTTTCTGTTGATGAGTTGACCATCGCTTGGCGCGGGTCCAACGGCCAAGGCATCCCAAGGCAGATGCCAAAAGTGTACACGTTGCAAACTGGTAGAGAACTCCAAAAGGAAATGTACAGTAGAGTTAAATGTACTGCATCACACAGTATTACGCTGCATCACGCGCCCTGTGTGTGTGAAACGCTCAAGTGAGTTTCCTCCAATGGCGTATTAAAAGACTGCTCCACCATGGTTAACGCGTGCACGTGGGAAAAAACGCCCCCCGCTCTTTTTTTTTCCCCATTTTAAAAAGAGCTGATGTTCCCTTTGTCTCGTTTGAATAGTAGTTTCCCCCCTAAATTTTCTATCCCCTCACAGTGGACACAATTCCTGGTGAATTCCCTCCTGGTGCCCTCTCCTCGGACGGTGCCATGGTGAACAGTACCCTTTCCGCACATGTGCTGTTTGCATATGTAAGCGAAAGAACACATACTGGAAGTAGCACATGAGATCCAACTTTAGTGTTCCATTTGTGCAGAGAAATAACATGACAGGGAAGGGAACACACCGTTAGGTCATACGCATAATGTTGATCGACCCATGTTGTGCAACGACAGGAGGGTGACTCTCCCTTGCCTCAATACCCTCGCTACCTCCATAATGAACATGTGTAGAGTTATACCTATTTGGAGGCGCATCACTCATTTAGTTTCTTCCTCAACGTATTCACAATTTTAAAGAGGGTGTGCACATGTTGCCGCTCTACCTAATGCGTTAAAATAACATGTGAGATGTGACATGAACACTTTTCCAACGTGAGACGTATGGCCAAGGGGGGGGCACCTTTTCTCATGCGAAGCCTCTGTAAAGTAGCAGTGCTACATGGAAGAAGGAGGGGAGAGAAAAAGACCAACCAAAGGAAAAAACAAAAATTGCCAAAGATGGATATAAAAAAAAAGCACAGTATAAAAGTGCGCATACGTAGAATGGCTGCTCCGTGAACAGAGTACTCCTGATACAAATGTATGCAGATGCGACAACGTCCATATGGTGTTCTTGTGTAAATCTCAACGAATGTGCCCTCTATTTATGCCACCTATTCATATGCTCAGTTTTTTTTTTTTTTTTTTTTTTTTGGCTGATCTGCACTTTTTCGTGGTGCTCCACAAACAGTTGTTAGGAGGCATTCCCCCGTGTTAGCAACAATTGGCTGGTGCAGGCAGTCGTTTTTTTTTTCTCCGTTGTTAGGAGTCATTTTTGTTTTAATATTTTTCCCGCCCTTGCTGGCGCGGTGATGCCCCATATTTTCCCTTTCCCCGCTGCGCCGCCCGCATTACCCCAAACGGGTCATGCCATATTTTATGTGGGTACTTTTTTTATGCAAAGCGCGGCACCCGTTTTTTTTTTTTTTTTTTTTGTTTTTCTCACTTTTGGAGAAGCGCGGTTGCCCCTCCCACACAGCATCGCCGCGCAGCGGGTCACATGCAAGTGTATAAAACATATCCATGTACGCAAATTGTATTATTATTTATTTGTCACTGTACTTTTTTGTACCGACCCAATTTTACGTATGTCATTTCATGCCGTTGCCCAAGGGCCACAGCCAATGAATCCAATCCCACCTGGGTGCCATGTGACCGCTGGTCGCCAGCATACTACAATATATAATATAAACTCTGTGGGATTTTTTTTTTTTTTTTTTTTTTTTAAACCTTTCGCAACTCACAAGTTTGTCATGTTTTAAGCGGTAAATCCCTTCGGGTAGAACCACGTCCCATTTTTGCTACAGCGTTTGTTTTTTTTTTTTTATTTTTATTTTATTTTTTTTTTTTTTCTCTTTTCTTTAAATTGAAAAAACTATTTTGCGAGTTCGCATACAATTGTACGTTCGTACATGCGCATGTTTGCATAAACGTGTTTTTAGCTCGATCGCTGTTGGGTTTTTTGCCCCTCCCCCCCTGTTCTCATTTTACAAACGACTTCACACTTTTTTTTTTTTTTTTTTGCTTCCTTCGCATCTGTGGTCACGCAGGTTATATATTATCCACACAGCATATAGTCTCACCACTGCAAGGATTGTTCCGTCGCCTTCTCCTCTCCTTTTGTTTTTCCCCCTTTTGCGTTTACATTTTCCTTTTTCCCCCTCTGTTCTCGTATTTTTTTTTTTTTTTTTCTTTACCCCTTCCAAAGATGGACAAAATATCACCAGAAATTTTAGCCGCCAGGGCGAAGCTGAAGGAGAAGATGGGAGGAAACCTGAGACAAATTGGTGGCAAGGGAAGTGCTAGAAGAAAAATTAAAAAGGTTCACAAGAATTCCATGTCCAATGAAAAGAAAATTAATTTAATTTTAAAAAAAATCGGTGCCTCCTACTTTGGAGACGTGGATGAGATTTGTGTTTACCGAGCAGGAGATACATACATGGAGTTTAAAAAGCCAAAGCTGTCTGCGTCCCTGCAATCGAATACCTATGTTGTTACGGGAAAATTCACGGAGCAGAAAATTGACATTAACAAAATATTCGAAGGACTGAAAGGAAACAAAAATGTGGATATGAATCTGCTGGAGAAAATTAAAAATGACCCCAACATAAAAAACTTGCTTAACAAGGAGAACAACGGAAATGCGAAAAAGGAGGAAGCCTCAGAGGAGCCTGCGGACATACCGGACCTCGTGGAGAATTTCGAGGAAGTTTCAAAGGAGGACAAGTAGTGTATATAGGCAGTTGAGTTTGGAGAGAGCTGGCCACTGCGACACCGCGCCCGGCTCATCCTTTTTTTTATCCATTTTTTTTTATCCTTTTTTTTTTTTTTACACACCGCGTGCGTACGGTCTTCCGTTGGCGCAGCTGCATTATTGTACTCCTATATGTGTTCCCCTCCGTTGTGCACAATACCTATATTAGTTAAAACTTACCTCACAAAAAGGACAGCACCCCGCGAACATAAACGCGTGTTTTTAATTTTTTAATAGAATAAGTCAACTGAGCAAGTGACATAACGATGTGTTGCTCAACAAAAAAAAAAAAAAAAATGAACTACTCCTCCCGGGAGTATAAAAAAGTTCCACTGCTTAGGCTTAGACGCAACTTTGAATTTGATTAATTTGGTGTTACACCTTAAAAAGGAAACATTACAAAAAAAAAAATATATGCCCATGTATGTGAACAGTGCCACGCACCCCGCAGCGTTTCTTTTTTTTTTTTTTTTTTGGGGCCACTTTTTTCGTACCGCCAAGTTGATGTGAACACCACGAATGGGCATTCCGCTTGGAAAGCAGATTTAGCTAGCTGTTACTTTTCCCCACAGTGGAAAAAAAAAAAAAAAAAAAAAAAATAGGTCTCTTCTTTTTTTTTTTTTTTGGCGAACGGACAAGTGAAGAGTGGACGGGTTTACTACCACGCATGAGCGACGCGGCTGCACATCTTCCCCGTTTTGATAATCAAATGAGAGAACACACCATCCTTTTTTTGGAGGTTTCACAACAGAGGGGCTCCCCAAAAAAAAGGCTCTTAGTCTGCAATCCTCCTCCCCATTTGTGCAAACATAGTAAATACCCCATGGCGAAATGTTCTTTTTTTTTTTCCCCTGCAATCTGCAAAACTGCGCCACTAAAAAGGTTTAATAAATGATCTGGGAAAAAAAAAAAAAAAAAAATGAAAAAAAATCACACTCTATAGAACGGGTCTTCTAACCTATCCTCGTATGCTTTGGAAAATCTGAATTTTTTTTTTTTTTCCCCTCATGTCACGCTTTTATAACAATGAGCCGTGTAGGCCTTTGCCCCCGTTGAGTGCACCTGGCGATATTTTGGGGAGGACCCCTTTTTCCACTTGACGCCTGTGCGGCGTATTGTGGTGGGGTAAGGCAAACCCGGGCAGGAAAAAAAAAAAAAAAAAAAGTATCGCTCTAGCCGCGCCCGTGGGGCCCACATATGCCTGCGTGTCACGGTGTTTACGAGCAGTGCGCAGTTCTCTTTCCCCCTTTCGAGTCGAAGTGGCATTTTCCGGCTCTGCGCTGGTATGCTCTACTTTTTTTCATATGCTTATATAAAAAAAAATGCAAGCGACTTTTGCCGGCATGGGAAACTTGTTCCGCGCTACGCGTTTTGCGCACTGCATATTTCGCGCAACTGTTTTTTTTTTTTGGTACGAATAAGTAAATACCGTTGACTTTGTTTTTTTCTTTTTTCCTTGTTTTAAGTTATGTTTTTTTTCCCATTTATATGTGTTCCAACGACAGAGGGAAATCCCCTACAGGAAGAGGAAAAAAAAAAAAAAATAATAAAATAAAAATCTTCCGTACGCGATTCGAAAGAGAATTTCGTTTCATCCTTTGGAAGAGCAACCCCACACGGAGAAGCAAAGCCAACGATTTTACATTCGTGAGGCGTACGTTAAAAACGTAACTTACAGGTACAGCCTCGTGGTGGCTCATCTAAGCACAGAGAGGGAAAGAACAAAAGTGCTCCCGCCGAGCGGGCTAACGCGCGCATTCACTTGAGTATTCACTCGCGTATTATATATAGGGCTTCATACATTTCTGCCGTTTTTTACATCACCGCTTCACGTCGTCGCTTTATACGTCACCGCTCCACATCGCCGCTTTATACGTGACCGCTCCACATCGCCGCTTTATACGTGACCGCTCCACATCGCAGAGAAACGCTTAGCATCTCATCACAAGGTCGAAAATGGGAGGCAAGTCCAAGGGAAAGAGATCTGGCACGAGGTACAAGTTTGCTAAGAAGTTTAGAAAGCATGGAGAATGCACAGCAAATAAATTTTTAGAAAATATTAATTATGGGGACTACGTAGATATCGTATGTGACTCTACTCAACAGAAAGGTATGCCATTTAATTTTTACCATGGACGAACAGGAAAGGTGTTTCATATCACCAAGAGAGGGGTGGGAGTATTGGTGAACAAGAGAGTGAAACACCGAATTATACAAAAGAAAGTTTGCGTACGAATCGAGCATGTACGTAAGTCACGCTGTAATGAAGATTTCATATTGAGAAAGCAAAAAAATGCTGAACTGATTAAGGAAGCTAAACTAAAGAAAGAGGTTATTTCTATTAAGAGGCAACCAGAGGGACCTAAACCTGCCGCCATGATTAAAGTACCCCCCACCAAAATTATCACAATTGAACCATTGCCCTTTTATGAGGAGTATTAAAAAGGAAGAGAGATGGGAGAAACAAAAGGAAGCCACTGTAGCGATGTGAAAAAAAAAAAAAAAAAAAAATGAACGAGTCATGCGGGAGAAAAGGTGTGTGGTGTTTATACCCACGTGAGCGAATAAAGAAAATAACGCGGAAAATTTGGAAAAGCGTTTTTGGTATTATAAATGTGGTAAAATTGGCAGGGAGGACAAAAGGACAGAACAAACCGAGACACAGGGATTATATATATATAAGCATATATGAGAAAACAGGTGTGTTGGGGCAAAAAAAAAAAAAAAAAAAAAAAAAATGGACCATTGGGGAGGAGAACAAAATGTGTGCGCAAGCGTCACGCATTAGATTAATAATACATATATATATATTTCCCCCACATATACAAAAGAGACCCCCATGACAATTTTTTTTTTTTTTTTTTTTTTTTTCCCCTTTTTCACTCTCTTGTGATCATTCTTAAACTTGCCTTCCAGCTTTACCGTTTTATGTCCCTGTCCAACCCACGTATTTAACGGATTTTATATTCATGTTGAATAATTTTCCTTGTTAAAACACCCCTCCCTCTGTTCTCCTTTTTTTTTTTTTTTTTTTTTTTTTTCTTTCCCTGTTGTGCATGTTTTTTTTTTTTTTCCA